TAAAATTAAATTTTTTTTTTTTTTTTTTTTTTTTTGGATCAGTGACTGTTCTCTGCAATGTATTGTCCATTGGCTGTAGTCAGTAGTACCTAGCTGAGGTCAAGATCATAATATACATTTTTTCAGTTTGACTCTTGTGTGTGTCCTGGGCAAAAGTGTATTGGTTGAATTAGTTCAAGAGGGTGTACGTAAGGCTATTGTCTGTAGAAGGTTATCTAGGCATGGGAAGGTAAGTAGTACTGTTCTTATACACACACGTGTTACAGAAAGCCACAGTGAGGGAGGAAGCTGCAGTGGCTACAGTTGGCAGTATATAGAAAGAATAATCGTAAGCCTAGTAGTGTTCAAGTGATGTCTGGATGCTCAGTATGACGTTCTGCTGGTAAGTTACCTAGTTTCAAGATGATCTGTGGCATAGGTCACCTTTAGTTCATACTGCCCCTGGGAATCTTCAGTATGAGCCACAATTAACTGCTTGTATTAGAGCGGCTGTGCTTTTGTATAGGCCTCTTTGATAAAGAATACCATAATTAGCAATTCAACACTTTTCAAGATTTTATCTTATGTCTTCTCTTAGTATTTCCTGTAACACCAAAGTGAATTTAGAAACTTGTGAGAGGGGGTCAGCAAGAAAGGATCCCAAGCGGTGGGAAGAGTGCCATGCTGAATGAGAAAGTGGTCTAGGCGATTTTAAACTGTAGCAGGTGTTCCAGAGTTGTACAAGTAGTTGCTGTGTATTTGGATTCTGTTTAAATTTAGTAATCTGATTTCCACCAAGCCTGATTATATATGTTGCCAGAGCAGTCTACAAATAAAATCAAGAACTTGTGTTTTAATTGCCATATCACCTAGATATGAATATGAGGAGCTGCAGGAAAAGCTAATGCTGGTATGTTGAGAATGTTGCACATAATGTCAGCCTATATGGTCACACAGTTTGTTTTTTCTTTGTTCTCCCATTTCTGCATCCATATTTTACCTCTTTTATGGAGTGCAAACTCTTTGAACTAGAGACATAGGAAAGGCTGACTTACTGTTTGCTGATATGAGGCACAGTGGGTCTCTAGATGTTTCGGTTATTACTATAAGTAATAATGTCCTGCTCATTGTGTACTTAAACCCTGAATCACATGAGTTTATTACATAACATGTTTGTGAGCTGTTTTGTAGTACCATAAAGACCTTGTTAAAGAATTTTATTTTTGCATCAGTTTAGATTTTTGTTTTCAGTACAGGCCTGGGCCATAACTGGATAGGACAGATGACTACTGAATGTGGAAAGCACAGAGAAGTGGCATGTTACTGCTTCAGGTGTAAGGCTGTAGTGTTAACCTGGTGATTGGTGCTTAGGCTAAGTGTCGGTAGCTGCCCTATAAACCCTCATTTGAGGTAGTTTGGATGGAACACTTTTGTTGGGGTTTCTCATGCCCTGCTTTATGGTTCTTTGAACTGCAGTAAGATGAGCCGTTCTGATTCTTTCTGAGTGAATTATGGCTTGTGTCCTAGGCACACTGAATTCTAGGAAGACATTAGAAAATTATTCAAATGGTTTAGCTTATATCCTCACTGTTAAGTGGATAGGTTATGTCAGCTAAAGTAAAAATCTCTTCTTGTGTGTTAGCTGACTTAGCCAAGATTATTGGCCAAACTGATTTTTACGTAGATCAGTGCTGGTTTACCGGCAACACCTGAGAGAGTTCAGATTGACTCTGCAGCAAAGTCATACACAAAAATGATGTGTAAACCAGCAGGGGGAGCTAGTAGCTTTACTTTCAAAGTGTGAGCCATGGTCAAAGTTAGTAAATAAATTGAGTCACCAGTATGCTACCTTATACTGACACTGCACAGATGAAACCTGTATGACAACCTCTGAGGCAAAAGAGTGACAAGTAGTTGGGTATCCAGGAGAACTGAACTAGTAGAACTTTTCTTTTTTTTTATTTTCTCTTTTTCTTCCTCTGTCTACCCTCAGTTTTGTTTTGTTTTTTGTTTACAGAGAGAGAGAATTTAGTTTAGTATTTGTGCTTTGACGAGAGAGGAAGTATAATTCAGTATTCTTCTGTGCTCTCAAAATAGCCAGGACAAACTTGAAGTTGGCCTAGAACTGCTAACTTGTACTTCATTTTTGATGTTTAGCCCTGTACTAATACTTGCGATAATCAGGTGAGGAAAGGTTTTTTCTTCTGGAGAAGAATTACTTGTTGAATGATTCTTCAGCAATTGATTAGGTTTGAAGTTGACCCGGTTGGATTGATATGGAAGTGAAATGCAAAAGAATAAAGTTGATTCCCTCTAGCAAGAAGGTATACAACCCATTGCTTTCAAAATCCAGTCCATGGAGTATCAGTCTAGAGATCAAAATTGGGGTGGGGAAGGATTAAAATGTTGCACTTTGAGAGGGTTATGCCTGTCTGCACTTTGAGAGGGTTATGCCTTATGCTATGAGGTATAAGGTATGTTTGAATGTGGAAGTTAGTTTCATGTTAAAGGAGGGGGGAAGCCTACTAGCCACTGGAGAACAGAATGCACTTTGAAGGCTGCAAACACCATCTAATTCTACTAGTGGACAGGAATGGGGAATGGAGAGTCCAGTGAAGAAAGGTGCTCTATGATCTGAAGAAACCGGACAACAAGAGTTTTTCCTTTCATAAGGTCAGCACATCTAAGGGCAGCTCATCAACATCTTTGCCTGTCTTGGCTTCTGGCATTTCTGAAAAGCCTAGACAGTTACTCTACATAGTAAATACTTGAAAGGGAACTAATATGCACTGCACTGGTGCTGAACATGGAGAATGGTCTGGCTTGGGGAATGGTGGATGGTGATAGTGGGATTTGGTTGTTCTGTCCTTGTGGCCCACTGATGGACTACAGCCTACTGTTTGAAAACCATGATCCAGAGGAAACAATTGGGGCTAAGATCCCATTGTTCGCAGCCACTGTGTATGCGTACACATATGCATGCACGTGAGAGAGCCCAGGCCCTAGGAAGTTTCTAGTC